TTTTTGCCGAGACAACCAACAAGTTTGTTGGACCAGTTTCTTTTACCATCTTCCTCAACGGGCTCTACCTTTCAATCAACTTCATCCTCCTTCCCCCCTTATACTATTTCAGCACCAGCTCCTTCTCCTCAAACCCCTGCTTATCCTCTGTTTTTGCCAGTTCAACCACCAGTTCTGAAGCCTTCAAGCAGCAGGAGCGAAAACACGGCAGATTTTCCAATGAACTCTTGGTCCGATTCTGGACATCATCAATCTTCTTCGGAATGATTTTTAGCCCATGATTAGGCTGGTTTAGTTTAGTTTGGCTAAATTTTGGTGGCCATTTTCGTTGTTATTTCACTGCAAAACCAAAAGCATGATTGAAGTGTAATATGGGGTAAATTTCAAAAGTATTATATATACTTTTTGCTGCATGTAGCATCAGCTTTCCATTTTTTTCCGATGCGTGGTATATACAGAGGTTGTTCTCAGTTGATTATAGTTTTACCCATTTGCTTCTGTGTTCAGATTATAGATATTTTAATAAGCCAACAAAACTAAAATTCATAATTAATCAAAGAATAGCTGATTCTGATTATTTTTTATAATCGCATTCCATAATTAGATGTTACAAAATTTAAAGCAACCGAGAACAAGGGTATAGTAAATTAATGTTACGTTTTCGTGAAATCCAGAAGGGCAAAGGACAGCTCAATTTGGTATGTGCTGAATCTTTCCTTGCGAAGCAGGTTTATACTTCTTTTTCTTGTAACTGTTAAAGAAGTTATAGAACTCAATTGGCTGAAGACTTGAGGGCGAACTACTACATTGTACAAGAATGTTCTTGATATTGACTTTTGTAGCGAAGAGGGAAAAAAATGTATGTTTTTGGATAAGATCTGATGTATGCTCAAGAAGAGTCGGCAGATGCCAAATTTCTTAATCAGAGAAGAGGCAAAAAAAAAAAGAAAAGAATGTTATTGGTAACAATCCAATCATCAGATTAATTGAGTCGTACATATTTTAATGATGTAGAATGCCAAAATCACAGCAACAGTTTATGTGTATGCATGTATTATTTGAGTTAGTTTATGCATTAATTGTGTGTATATGATTCTGAAATCGTTAATCAACAGTAAATCCAGTCCAAAACTATTTTCTTTACATTATTCCACGATTTCATAAAAAAATTAATACTCCCCATAAGAAACATAGTACTATTTTCCAGACAAGCATAAAAAACTTGTTACATGCTTTTTAGCAATGCAATAGGATAAGGATAAGAATAACATGTGGTTGGTGAATTAAAAATGAAAATGCCTTTCTTTCATCCTGATCTTGACTCTTGCAATTTGAGACGAATATGTGGTTGGTCAAATTCATGCAGCATATGCAATGAATCAACACTTTTCTCTATATACATATATATATACACACACACACACATACACACACACAGAGTTTTCCATATAATTTGGTTTTTCACAGGTTTTGAAACAATTTAACAACTTTGAAGTTGCTGTTGATTTCTTCTACAATTTTGCTGTGGGCTATGCAGCATATACATTAAGAAGAGCCCACAGAATCCGAACGTTTCATTTCCTTGCATTTTCTTTGACACTTCACAGTTGACAAGGTAGATGGAGGATGGCTGGTGGGAAAAAGACACAAACCCTGTTATCCATGTCGACTCCAATGTATCCAGAAGGAGTAGAATCATTCAAGGACTGGATAACAGGATAAAGTCCAGACTCTTAAAAGTTGTCTGGCTTTTATTATTATTTTTTCCGACTCAAAGCAATTGACTTTTGTCGAATGAAATAAACCTAATCCCAGAGCTAATACCAAAAGCCGGCAACTCTTGGTACAGCCCCAGGGACTTTTATTATTTGCATTAGGAAAGGTTTCATTTGTTCTACTTTGTAGCAAGTTAAAAAATTCACCAAATGGATGGCAACCTTATCCTGGTTGCATTCCAATTAATGGTACCCAATAACATTTTATTGCCAACACAAGCTGGTGAAACTGTCTGTTCGAATATCGCTGTTGATATGACTGCTGAATTGGTAGGTGATATAGAATCCCTATAAATGATTTATGGTCTTGAAAATATGTCCTTATTCATGGTGGTGGTCAGAAATGAATCCACCCAAATTTTTTTTTATACCTAAAAGAATAACATTTTATTTAATAATAGATCTCAGCAATCTTTTCTTTTTTTTTTTTTAAATAAAACACATCACAATTTCATATAATAATAGAACCTGCACAAATGGACTCAACTGTCTGTCCGGAGTTAATTCTTGGTGTTGGGATGATTCAGGCTTAGGATGTAATAAAAGTTAGCAGTACAAACTATAAGCTGCAAACTAACATCCTTGGAAGATTCAAACATGCAAATAATCAAACTCCTTATTATCAAAATAATAATCAAACTCCTTAAAACCTCTAGTTGGCAGTACTAGGGTTGAAAAAATTGGATTCGTGCTTCTTCTATCAATACTTTAATAGGGAAAAGACATTGGAAAATTAATTCAATTATATAACCTACTTGAAGTCATGGAAATGAAATATTGCATGGCTGCAAAGCTTTTAAATTAAAAAAAAATTATCAACTAAATCGTGCCCAAAACATTTGGAGTTTGCCGATTAAAGAGGGAGAAAGGAAAGGAGAAGAAACATAATCAAACATATTGTTTAATTTGTAAATGTGAAATCAGATAGTGGTTTGAAGTTGTAATTGTAAATGGTCAATTGACATATGCTGATTTAAGAAATTAAAGCTCGAAAAATAAATTATGATCTTCGAGACACAAAAAAAAAAAAAAGCATTTGGAAATTACGTATTACTTAAAATAAGAGCATCTGAAAGGTCAAAAGGCCGCACAGAAAAATTGGTTGCGTTCTAAGATTGGAACTAAAAGAGTTTGGGCTTCCAAAAGGCAATTGCTTCTCAATTGGCACAGAGAAGCAAAAGCACAAATATATGGCTTGGATTGCGATTAATTTGTCAAGCATGACTATTAAAAATGAAGATAGTCAAACTTCCTTTAAAAAAAAAAGATTAATCAAACTTAGTCGTATAATCAAGACAAAGCTACCAAGTCTAAAATTTGAATATGACAGGAGAAGTATTCCACATTTGATGGTTCATGCCAGTTATGACTTTTGATAGCCTATACAGTAGTATAATTGTGGATGGTAATTGGCTGATGATGAGAAATCTAATCAGTAAGAGTATATATGGCATCACAAAAAGGGGAAGAAAAGAAATATTTGTGTGTAGTATTATAGTATAATAATAAGTCGGATTTGTCTAAAGGGTGCTCATTGAACACTCATAAAAATTTATTTCAGGTGTTATATTTTTGAAAATATAAAATTAATTAGAAAAATTGTATAAATGTAATGAAGGATAATAACTACTCCCAAATCCTCCGTCCCATTTTGATAATCCTGTTTTCCTTTTTCGTTTGTCCCAAATTGTAGTCCACTTTCCAATTGAAGAATGTAGTTGTATTTTAATTTTCCTAAAATACTCTTATTCAATGTAAGTTGTTGTTACTATAAACCTACCCCATTTAATGAGAATTGATTCTTTTTTTACCATCAATTCAAGTTCCCATAAAGTTGTACTCTAACTAATGTGAGGGTATTTTAGGAAAATAGCTACCTAAATTGATTGTTCCAACAAAGTTAACTATTTTTTATTAAACTGTGTGAAAAAAGAACCAGAACTATCAAAGTGGGACGGAGGGAGTATTGGTATATATATATATATATATACATGATATATTAGGTTAAATTTAAATCTGTTAATGAGTGCTTATTAGATACTCGCTAAAAAACTCTAATAGATTTAGTACTATACAATGGAATAAGAAGAGGCACGAACTAATTTGCTTTCTTATTTATGACCGGATATAGAAAGTTTTATCACGTTGCTTCTAGTATACAAACTCCAACACAATATTACTATAGCCTATTAATGGTCCAACATAATATTAAAGTAATATTTCTATAGCCTATTAACAGTCCAACGTAAGGCGTGACCCAATTCTGTTTCCAGCTCTGTATAAAAATATTCAAGTCAAACAGTTCTTTAATTTATTACTTTTGCAGGATAGATGGAAAAAGAATGATATAATAATCCTTTTAAAACTCGCAATCCTTTTGAAAAGGTATAGGAGTTACAACCTTAATGCATAATCCTTGACCTTTTTTCTTTTTTTCTTTTTTGGTTACAAAACATATTTGTCTAGATTCATTCTATGATAGTCAAATTGGCATTAATGTCAACCCTAACAACAATAAAAATTCTCGACTTTTATAAAGAAATTGTGACTGAAATTTTTATTAATAATGACAAATTTTTTTCATTTTTTGAAATATTTCAACATATGTTAAATACCTCAGGCAGGGCTTTTTTTTAAATTCATTTTCCAATAAAGGAATTTTAATGATAATACACTATAGGCCATGGGTGTGTTTGGATAGTAGATTATCTAAGATATTTTTTTGAAAAAAGAAATACTGTAGCACTTTTTTTATACAATATATTTGAAATAAAAAAAAGTGGTTGGAAAATGAGTTAATGATGCAAACAAATAAATTTTGACAAATAATTCCTCCGATGTGATTTACTAACTAATAGTAACATATATTCAATTGGTAAACGGAGGAATTCCTATTATTTTATACCCTTTTGTTTGGTTTTTAGCCACCAGATGTGACTTCTAATCCTCAGTTGACTTAGAAATCAAAGAAAATTAACGGTCTAAGGTATGCATTTCTGTTTGAAATTTAGATAACATAATGAACAGGAAACAAATTGACAAGTTTTTAGAAGTTCAAAGAGAAGAAAATAGCTAAAAATTCTGAATAAAATTTGCGTTACATATTTATTCTGCTGAATAAAATTTGCGTTACATTTTTATTCTGCTAAATAAAATTTTTTACCTATCGTCACTTCAAGCATCTACATAAATTCAAGCTGAAAGAGACATCAACACTCAAATTAATTGAGAAGGCAACAAATATCTTCAAATCATGATGTGTCCAGCTTTAGTCTGGATAACTATCACGGTACTTGCAACTGTTCTTCTCTTCAATTCATTGTTGATCGGAAAGAACAAGAAGAAGAAATTGCCCCCTAGTCCAAGAGGACTTCCTATTCTAGGACATCTTCATCTGTTGGGGAAAAATCCTTACCAGGATCTGCATAAGCTGTCTATGCAATATGGTTCTATCATGCATCTACGATTCGGATTCATATCAAACATCATTGTTTCATCGCCCCATGCGGCTGAGCAATTCCTGAAGACATATGATCTTGTTTTTGCCAGTAGGCCACCTCATGAGGCTGCTAAGCATATGAGTTTTGGGCAAAGAAGCCTGGCCTTTGGGAAGTATGGTCCATATTGGCGCAACATGCGTAAATTATGCACCTTAAATTTGCTTAGTAATCTTAAGATCAGTTCATTTCAGTCTATGAGAAGGGAAGAGCTTGGATTGTTTGTTGAATCACTCAAACAGGCGGCTCTTAATCAAGATGTTGTTGATATTGGTGCAGAAGTTGCTGCCTTAAGCGCGAACATGACTTGTCTGATGGTGTTTGGAAAGAAGTATGCTGATAAGGAATTCGATGAGAGAGGCTTCAAAGCTGTGATCAAAGAGGCTATGCAATTAATGGCAACACCTAACCTTGGAGATTACTATCCTTTTCTTAAGGTACTTGATCTTCAAGGCTTGACCAGGAGAATGAAGGCGGTTGGCAAAATTTTTGATGAATTCTTAGAGAAGATTATTGATGAACACGAGCAATCTGCAAACCAAGCTAGGCAAGCTGATGACTTTGTCTATACCATTTTGGCCCTCATGAAATCTAAAGAAACTGAATTTGAATTTGATCGCCGCCACATCAAAGCAGTTTTGGTGGTAAGGAATGCATGAATTAAGTTTACAATCTCCTCTTAAGTTGGATGCTCCATTTCTTTCTCAAGTCTGCAATGATCCACGGCTTACTTTCTCAAAGGCCAAAGCTTTTGTCGTTTACATAGCCAATACAACATTTTAGTTTGCTCCTGGTGATCATTTCTTGCGTCTTACTTTCCATCAGTCTTTATATTTACTAGCTCAAGTCACAGTAGGATCTTTCTGAATTCTAAATCAACTTCTCTCTAATCATGATTGACAAGTGTCAGGTTGACTGATGGTGTTCTATTGTTAGTCCACTAGGGTGTGAGAACTTTCTGCCATTGCTTTCCCTTAACATTAGTTAATCTCCTGAAACATAGAGATTAAAAAAATATGCATCTTCATTTCAGGACTTACTTACTGCAGCAATGGACACTACAGCTACAACTGTTGAATGGATACTCGCGGAGCTCTTGAAAAACCCCCGAGTAATGAAGAAAGTCCAGCAAGAATTGGAAGAAAAAGTAGGCCTACACAGGATGGTTGAGGAATCAGAATTGGAAAACCTAACATACTTAGACATGGTTGTAAAGGAAGCATTAAGGCTCCATCCTGTTGTACCATTACTTCTTCCTCATGCAGCCTTGGAGGATTGCATAGTTGATGGTTTCCATATACCGAAAGATTCCAGAGTGATGATCAATGTTTGGACAATCGGAAGAGATCCAAATGCATGGTCTGATCCTGAGAAGTTTACACCAGAGAGATTTATTGGGAGCAACATAGATGTAAGAGGACATGATTTCCAGCTTATTCCCTTTGGCTCAGGCAGAAGAAGCTGCCCTGGAATGCAGTTGGGGCTAACTGTGGTCCGTCTTATGGTAGCACAAACAGTGCACTGTTTCAATTGGGAACTTCCAAATGGGATGCTGCCTTCAGAGCTAGACATGACCGAGGAATTTGGCCTTGTGGTGACCAGGGCCAAGCATCTGATGGCTATTCCAACATATCGATTGAGTAAATGATTAAGCAGGTCTTGAGATGCATACTTTTTCTATATTGCACCTTATATATTAAGGTCTACTCTGCTAAGTTCTTGAAATGATCAATGGTTGTCAAGAATAGATATCATGAGAGAACCAAGTACTTTAAAATCTTCTTCTTTTGTCACTTAAAAAGTACGAAAGATGGAATCTTTTTCACAAATTCTGTACAATTAAAATTAGGATTACTGCATTTTTCTTTTATATTCTCTTATAAAGTATGCATGTTAATTTGAAAGAATAGAAGCTCTAAAAGTAGATAAAGAAATGGGGAAATATTTTCTGTGTTTCTCAGTTATTTACAATGATATAGAATGGCTGTACTTATAGGTTTACAATGAGATATGATATATTGAACCTAATCAAATTCGAATCTATAACTATACAAGTAAAAAGTTTTGATAAGATATATACAAATTTGTCTTTCAGTTAGGATTATTGAGTTATAGGGTAAAATATTACTATTCTGAACCTAATTAAATGTGTGCTAATGATAAAAGAATCGCTTCTTCACTAGCTTGTGTTGTCACATCCTAATTAGGGCTAATCGCACTTTATCCCCTTTAGGTATGGGTCGTTTCTCACTTTACCCCTCAACGTTTGTTTTTCCTCAATTTACCCCAAAGATTGATGGTCAACTCCAATGGAGATAAACAGAAAAATGAAAAGACAGTAATATCCTTAAGAAAATAATGAACAAACCAAATTACCCATATCTCTAGGTTCATGAAATACAAGTTTCCAAAATTACCCTGACAAAATGGAGAAGGGAAATCTCCCTCCTTCTGCCACATGCGACAAAAAAAAAAAAAAGAAATTAGGAGGACAAAAAGTTTCTTTTTGTTGTTGTCGGTCAATTTCTCACTTTGTCCTCTATCAGCCACTTTCTCCTTTGGCTGAATCCCTAACAAAACCTCCATTAAAGAACTTGAAATTCGCCAGAATCTTGAATGGAAAAGATGAAGTCAATCGATGAACTTGCGTAGCAGACAACAAAATTGAATTTGAAGATTGTGGAAGTAGATCGTAGCAAGGGCAGTCCTTAAGGTTTGGCTTTGCAATTTTTTCTCGATCTTAGTAGAAACAACAATAGCAGGGTATGGGTTTTTTTAGTGGCTTCATAGCCTTTAATGTGGTAGACAATTACTGTTTGAATCATATGTTGCTGTGGTCCCCTATTTTGTTGCTATGTCATTGTCGGGTTAGAATGAAAATGATGGGTTTTTAGCAATTTTTGTCTTTTTTAATTATTAATTTGCTGGATTATTTGTTTACTTTGTGATAGGTTGCATTTTTGTCATAAAATTTATGATTATTTCCCTCTTGATTATAGTCAAATATTGCATTAATTGATAGATTCTACTTATATTTGATAATTGTGTTAATTGTAGGGATTTGGAGCGAAAAGGAGTTAAGAACGTGAACTGTAACTAATTTCTATGCAATGTGGCATGGGCGCATCAAAGTCTAATTTTGCAAGTTTGGGATGCTCGGAATTTGGCACGTGTTCTCCAAAATTTGAATTGAAGTCACAACGGTCGAATGTCTCACCAGATGGATAGTGTTTTATTCCTACTAGAATGCTAGTCTATTTTGTCTACTAAGACGTTTTGTTTTTGTTGGAATAAGACTTGATTTGTTACAATTTGATTTCGCTAAGTAGTAGTAGTTGACTAGTAGTAGGAAAGGAAACAAAGGAGCATTATCGTTTCTTTGTTCTTCCTTTTTATCGAAACGAGGAACTAATCAGTGGTGAATAGGTCTCGTTTCTTCTTAGGAAGAAACATGAGTACCGAATTCATTTCTCTTTTTCTCAGGAATTCATCTCAATTGGAGAATGGCCGCAGCAATAAATTCCAATATTTCGCACTTGGCTTTTTCCATGGCGATAAACTAAGTTTCTCATTCTAGTCAAGGAAGAACGGAGGATTTGGTTCATCTAAAATTGTGAAATTGAATTAATTATAATTATTTCTTTTATTTACTGGTATTCGTATGGTCTCTGATTTAATTTCTTATGATTATTATGTTATTTGAATATCAATGGCCCGATATTTAATTTAATCTAATAACCTAAAACTAGTTAGAGCAGTTAAATCCGTAATTATTTAATTGCTTTAAATTAGTGGTGACTGACATGATTGGATTTGTGTTAGGGAAACATATGGCCTAATTTAAAATAACCCTTGTAACGTATTATTTGGTTAGAACAGGGCTTCTGTAATTTTTAAGGCAATTGAAAAATTGAACTTTACGGTCGTACATAGAATTATTTGTTGATTAGGGAAGTGATTAGCGGTCGTACCTTGATCACCGATACAATAAGGAGAAGTTGATTGTCATCGCTTATTTGGCAGTTATAATTTGTTTATCAGTGAGTAAATGAAATTATCAGTACATCGATGATCAATTGAGTGAACCATCTCTGAAGTTATTTCTTTACTAGAATTTATTTATTCTTAATTCAATTTTAATAAATTTTCATTCAGTTTTTATTTATTTATTTTATTTGAGTTATTTGATTATTCTTGATTTTATAAACACCCTCCTTACTTTGAACTCTAGAAGAAATGAATTATCTCCAATTTTTTTGGATTCAACCCTACTCACCCTGTATACAAAATTTATATATTTTTCTCGAATAGGTACTTATTATTGTACAGATTCGACATCTGTCATTTTTGTTTGGTTATATATCAGCTATTAGATAGACTAAACTAAGATGTTTTTATGGGACAATAAAAGATGAATGTTTTATGTTACCTTTGCATGCATTGAAAAATTGCCTTTGTCTGTGTGATTATAGAAAAATGAATTTTAAAACTTTTGTTTTAGAGGTTCACTATGGAGGCCATTTTGCCCACGTCCCAAATTTATTGGGGGAGAAGTTGCTAATTTTGATGATGTTGACCTTGGTTTGATGTCAATTTTTGAGTTTAAAGATGCTTTTTAAGAAACCGGAATTCCATATGAAACATCAGTGTACTACAGGGTTGGAAATCTTGATTTTTAGGTTGGTCTTAGGCTGTTAAACAGTGACTAGATAATTTTAGAAATTTTTGTGACAAATAAAATTCAAACTATCATACAACTTTATGTTGGTGAGATTCTTGAAGAAGATATGCATGCTGGTGAAATTATTGTAGAAGATAATGTTGAGGTTGATGGTAAACAAAATTTGAATCCTAATAAAGAGCATAAAAAAAAGTATAACCTGAATTGTACAAACTCTCAAATATATAGAGTAAAAGAGAAGGCAGAGGAAGCAGTCACAGGGTCATGTGCAAAGCAGTATGCAAGATTAAGAGACTATTGTGCTACACTTCTTCAAAGAAATCCAGATTCAGTGGCATTTCTTGTAACTGAAAAATTCCAACTTTGTAAAAGTCCAATCTTTAAGAGAATGTTTGTGATGTTTACTGTACAAAAGAAAGGTTTTGTAAATGCATATAGGCCTGTAATAAGGTTGGATGCATGTCGCCTTAAGGGGGTCATGGAAGGGTAGCTTATGTCTGCAATTGGTAGGGATGCAAATAACCAGATGTTCCCAATTGCTATGGCTCTTGTTGAGTCTGAGAGCAAAGATAGTTGGAGGTGGTTTTTGGACAGCTTATTGATGCCATTTGGATTCCATTTGAAAGGAATTGGGTATTTTTGTCAGATAGACAAAATGTTAGCACCACTATAATCTGCTTTATTTTCTTTTTTTCTCACTTACTCATGTCACTAATTCTATGATTTATTTTTTTATGTTAGGGATTAATTGATTGCATTGAGAATAAGTATCATGAAGTGGAGCGTCGATTTTGTGTTAGACGCATGTATGCTGATTTCAATCTAAAATTCAAGGATAAGCAGCTAAGAGACTTAATGTGAGCAGCAGCCAGGGTTTATTTGCCTAGTCACTATAAAAGCAAAATGAGAGAGTTGCAAACAGTACCACCAGAAGCACATGCATGGCTCAGAGCCATACCAGCTAACCTGTGGGCTAGACACACTTTTTCTTCAAGGGCAAAATGTGACCTCTTAAGTAATAACACATGTGAGAGCTTCAATCAATAGGTTAAGGATGCTAGGGAGGAGTTTGTTTTGACTATGTTTGAAGCCATTTGAAGGCAAATAATGTGTAGATTTCAAGAAAAAAGAGACTGGATTCAGAAGGTGAAGTCTCACAATTGTCCGAGGATTTGTCAGAAAATTGAAGAGAGGAAAAAATAATTAGCTCAGTTTGACGCATTTGTGTCCATAAGAGAGATGTATGAGGTGACTGGTATAGCTGAAACTTTTGTTGTTAATGCAATTCAAAGGTCTTGCACATGTAGTGAGTGGGATATGACAGGAATTCCGTGTGTCCATGTATATGCTGGACTTGTGCAAGACAATAAAAATCCATATGCATATGTTAATGATTGATACTCAGTGGAAACATATAAAAAGGCATATGCAAAAGTTATTATGCCTATGCCAGACCAAGCAAATTAGGTGAACATAGATTTTGATTTATTATTCCCATCTCGTAGGAGGATAGCCTCAGGTAGACCTAAGAAATTGAGAAAAAAGGCTCCATTAGAGGATTTACATGTTAAAAAAGGGTCTAAAATAGGGCTGCTAATTCATTGTAGTCATTGTGGTCATACTGATCACAATAATAGAAGTTGCAAAGTCACTCGGCAAAAGAAACTAGTGAATGCACATGTAAAAGCTAAAATATATGCTTGTTGGGTTTTTTATATCTACATCTAGCTGTCAATTTTTGATGTGTTGCAAGGTACATGGACCTACTAAACGAGCTGCTAGACTTCTAGCACAAGATAGAGGTGAAAAAAGTGGTACCAATAGGGGTGTAGGAAGGGGAGCTGGTAAGGGCCACTCTAAAATTAATGTTGAGCCTATTTTGATTTCTAGTGTTGGGATGAGTGCTGAAATGCTGATATAACTAATTCTACTACTGCAAGAGGCCCAACTAGAGTTAATTGGAGAGGTAGAGGTAGCAGCAGGCGTAAGGGTAGGGGTTGGGACCATAACAATGGCCCACTATGTGGCATTGGACTTTGGAATGGCCAAGAGCTATCAACAAGTAAAATATATATACCATTTGACTCTATGTAAAACATAATATCAATGAGTAAAACATATATTCCATTTGACTCTAAGTAAAACATATATCAACAAGTAAAATAGTCTGTTCGAATATTGTTGTCAATATGACTACTGAATTGGTAGGTGATATAGAATCCCTATAAATGATTTATGGTTTCGAAAATATGCCCTAATTCGTGGTGGTGGTTGGAAATGAATCCACCCAAAAATTTTTTTATACCTAAAAGAATAACATTTTATTTAATAATAGATCTCAGCAATCTTTTCTTTTCTTTTTTAAATAAAACACATCATAATTTCATATAATAATAGAACCTGCACAAATGGCCTCAACTGTCTATTTGGAGTTGATTCTTGGTGTTGGGATGATTCAGGCTTAGGATGTAATAAAAGTTAGCAGTACAAATGATGTGATAGAGTTTATATGGATTTGTAGCTGATTTATAAGTTTCTTGATTTCATCTTTTGTCTTTCTTTGTTTCCCCTTAAAACCCACATTTTCTCGATCAGTAAAGCATAGTCAAACTGGATAAATCCCACAACTCATCACAAGGAGACTGAGTAATCTCAATGAACTACAAATTACAAATAAATTAAAAATAGAAATACACAGAAAACACATTAAATAAAAGTGCGTTGAACAAAATTCAAATTAACATTTAATTCTAAGCTCCCAATTTCTCTTATAAGCCATTCCACTTTCAGCTAACTACAAGCTGCAAGCTAACATCCTTGAAAGATTCAAACATGCAAATAATCAAACTCCTTATTATCAAAATAATAATCAAACTCCTTAAAACCTCTAGTTGGCAGTACTAGGGTTGAAAAAATTGGATTCGTGCTTCTTCTATCAATACTTTAATAGGGAAAAGACATTGGAAAATTAATTCAATTATATAACCTACTTAAAGTCATGGAAATGAAATATTGCACGGCTGCAAAGCTTTTAAATAAAAAAAAAAACATAATCAGCTAAATCGTGCCCAAAACATTTGGAGTTTGCCGATTAAAGAGGGAAAAAGAAAAGGAGAAGAAACATCATCAAACATCTTGTTTAATTTGTAAATGTGAAAATTAGATAGTTGTTTGAAGTTGTAATTGTAAATGGTCAATTGACATATTCTGATTTAAGAAATTAAAGCTCGAAAAATAAATTATGATCTTCGAGACACAAAAAAAAAGCATTTGGAAATTACATATTACTTAAAATAAGAGCATCTGAAAGGTCAAAAGGCCGCACAGAAAAATTGGTTGCGTTCTAAGATTGGAACTAAAAGAGTTTGGGCTTCCAAAAGGCAATTGCTTCTCAATTGGCACAGAGAAGCAGAAGAACAAATATATGGCTTGGATTGCGATTAATTTGTCAAGCATGACTATTAAAATTGAAGATAGTCAAACTTCCTTTTAAAAAAAAAAGATTAATCAAAAGTTGTATAATCAAGACAAAGCTACCAAGTCTAAAATTTGAATATGGCAGGAGAAGCATTCCACATTTGATGGTTCATGCCAGTTATGACTTTTGATAGCTTATACAGTAGTATAATAATTGGCTGATGATGAGAAATCTAATCAGTAAGATTATATATGGCATCACATAAAGGGAAGAAAAGAAATACTTGTGAGTAGTATTATAGTATAATAATATGTTGGGTTTGTTTAACGGGTGCTTATTGAATACTCATAAAAATCTATTTCAAGTAGGGGTGGACAAAAAAACCTGCCGATCCGAAAACCTGATGAACCCGATCCAATTCGATCCGAAAAATAGGAT